GGAAGCTGCAGATCAACCAAGGGAAGAACTCAATAGAAGACAATGTAACAACCGGGAAATCTCTAAACGTCACTGATCAAGGGCTAGAAGCCCTGGCCTGAGTTAATCAACGCCAGAGACCAACTTTTGGGCTGAATATCTCCAGATCGACCGCTCCCAGAGCCCTATTCTAAATTCATCAACGGACTCCCAAACCTACACATACATGCGGACGACCCCTGGGGCTGACAGATGCCATCCAGTAGCCACCGAGGGGGGGGAAGTCCCACGAGGGTCAATGACTCCTGGATTGGGCAAACCTGAAAACTGGGGAGTCACCAAAGTCTGCCAAGGACAGATAAAAGGCAGTGAAAAGTGACCCTCAGGGGCGTCCTCTTGATCTCAAACTTGACCAGACCTGTCCAGCCAGAAGGACCAGCCGGCGACCCCCTTCTGGAGGATAACATCACGCTGCAAGAAGCCTCGACTGGCCATCGACGGCAGACTCCAGCGCTTGTAGGATAGGTATACCTGACTCTGTAGCTTGCTACTATGTGTGTGTGTATGTGGGGACCAGCCCCAAGGTTTATGATTTAACTCATTACAGTGTTTCAATCCTCCTAATAAACTAGAATTTTAAGGATCCCGAGTTGGACATTTGTAGCCAACAACCCCACAGTATTTCTGGGCTTCACAGGGATCTTTGGCTTAGGTAAAAGAAGCGTTACTGCAGAGCAAGTGGGGAAGAGGAAGTAGAGAAGGAAAAATATACCCACTTACTACCAGTTTGACTATAAAAGTTATTTATTGCTAAGTATATGAAATGTATAATGGTACTAGTAGTAATACACATGCAAGGGAAAACAAACAAAACCAATTACAATATTACCCTGGTTTCATTGAGCATTTGGGGAAACCTAGCTCAAGCTTAACTAATACAATTTAGGTTCAGAAATCTATGCCTAGAGAGAAAAAGAGAGAGAGAGAGAGCAAGAGCTGGGATCTCACCATTCCAATGCACTTGAGTTGTTTGCTGACAGGTAAAGTTCTTAGCACGATCCTTGAAGGTTAAACAGACGGCGGAAAGAGACGATATGTTTCTTCCAGCTTCTCGAGAACAATAGCGGGTGGTATCAGAGAGATTTCTCTCTCTTGAAGCACACTGTTTGCTGCTTTTACAGATTTTTATACTCTCAGTTCAGCTTCTTCAAAGAATTCTTTTAATTGTGTAAATAATTGTCTTTTCTATTGACAAGGGGTTATCTGGTTTGTAACATCTCAAGGAACTGATTAATAACCAGGAAAAACATAAGGTTAAAGAGTAACCAGACACTTAGGAGCCAGCTTAAAATTCTTATGCATAGCAGATATACTGGTTGGGATACCACATTGTTTCTTCTCAGACGGCTTGCAGTGTCAGGGTTTTATATTTTTTTACCTGTTGTGAATAAGCTTCAGTTTAGCATGAGTGTTCATAAACTTTTTGGGGAGGAATTCCACCAGTCATCCTGGGAAAAGTATGACAACATTTGTGGTCAGGGCTCCAACGGCCTGGACGCTGTGATGAACCCTTAACCATTGTTCAAATGTTGCCCATACCCCCTCTGACTTGGTCTCTTGCCTCAGCATTCCCTAACCCGGCAACCGAGTTTTAGTCAATCAAGTTTAAATAGGCCTCCCATAGTGGAACCGGGCAATGTACAGCCCGAGATGCCTAGTAAACTTTTCTTCTGCTTAGTTCTGGTTAGATGATGTGGCGGGGGGGGGCAGGGGGAAATAGAAAAAGTCTGTAAGTCCAGCAAGCTGGGTGCCAGGCCTCCCTCAAGAAGACAGAGCTGACAGGTAACAAGCCTGACAGCAAATTAGGCTACTCCAGTTCTTATGTGCATGCATCCTTGAGCCCTGTACCTTTCCAGAAATACCCCAGTAGGATAGAAATGTCTGGCTTTTCCTATGACTTCTGGTGTCACACAGGTTATAACTGTTACTATTTCCTACCTGGAGATTTGCTACTATTATATTTTGGGCTGTTTATCTGAGAATGATATTATCATTGTTAGTGATCTTCACTGCAGTTATTTTTAACTGGAGCACTTTTGTAGCAAGGTTTTGGAAATTATACCAGAACATTATTTAAACCAATGACTCTCAACCAGGGTGCCATGGCACACTGGGGTGCCTTGAGGACTTTTCTAGGATGCTGCAGGGTGCCATACAATGCTACCATTGTTACGTGTGCAAACACAATTCAAAAGATAAACTCAGAGATTACAAATAAGAATTCAAAGTGTTAAAAATAATCTGACCTGTTGTGATTTTTCTGAGTTCTTTGCAAGAAAAGAATTGCTCTATTTTTCTGTAGTCAAGATACGAGTGAAAAAGTAAGAGCTGGCCTTTTCCGAAGGGTGCTTCACCTGAACAACGGTGTCTCAGGTCTAAAAGGTTGAGATTCACTGATTCAAACTGATTTACCAAACTTATACACTCTACACAGTAAGCCTTATATTATTAATGTAATACACACTCATCCAGCAATTTTGTTTCTCTCCTAGCAGGTAGACCACATGGGAGATGTGTGAATCTGCTACTGCCCTCAAGCTAAAGGATCTGGTCTTTTACCTCAAACAGCCCCTGCCTTAGATCCAAAGCTTAGTTCTTAGTTCAAATAAACCACATGAAAAAATGAATAGCTCTAAACCAGATGAACTTTGTCTAGCACAAAAAAGCCTCACTGGACAAAACAGAGAGATCATAGAATTGTCCAAGTACATTTCCTAGATCTGTAGATTTAATGCTGGAAAGGACCGTTAGAATTATCTACTCTGACCATCTGCATAACAGGCCACAGAACAAGCCTGTTGCTGGAATAAAAGACATGGCTTTTTTTTGATGCTGTTTCAAATCAGTTTCCAACCATTCCTCTGAGTTACGCTCTTAAGTCCTAAATTACCATTTTCATACGTGGCTGTCTGACAGTCCACAATTGGCTCCCTCACTTGCAGCTGTCACCACCTTCCAGTGCCTTGGGTCCATTCTTCTGCTGCCATCAAATTCAGGGTAATTAATTTAATTTTTGTATAAGATCTATCTGAGCATGGAATAACTTATATTATTTGTACTTCATTAGCAGTCATGTTTTTTTAGCTTATGGTTAATAGGACCTGATAGTAACTTTTAAAAAATGGAAATAAATTGGATTACAATTTTATAGTATTTTCTGATCAGCCTCCACTTTTTTCAGAGAGAAAAATATTACTCACCTTTTAGATATCACAGAGTCGTTGAACCCAAGATTCACTGCTGTTCGTATCATGTTCACTTATGCAGATCTGAGTAGGAACAGCTATGAAATTATAGTTACCTGTTATATAAAACTATCATAAACACCTCTTGAGTAACAAGAACTGAATGCTGGCTACTGCCAAGGAGAGAGAAATAGTGCTTCATTTTCTTATGGTGCTATGTTTTCAGGTGCCTTTCAGAGACAATAGAGCTTTGAGGAATAGCAATAATTTTTTTTCTCTTGAATCAACACAGAGAGCTTGACTTCTGAGTGACATTGTTCATTCTGGCCATGCAGTCAATCCAGCATTTGAACTGCAATTTTCAAATAGAGAAAGAGGAGTTGCATATTTTTCCGATTACCATTCACTGGATTAATTAAAGGGGCATTCCCTGCCCCCTTCACTCACCAGGATATGGGTCCATCTGCAGCGGTTCTGCACCCCGCCTGCTGCTTTGTGGCATTGAGAAGCCTTGACATGTTAGCGACCTGCTCTCTCCGTGCTGTTGCCCCTCGCTCCAAAACCACAGCACCCCTAGCCTTGCTGGCGCTCTTGACCCTGCTCCGTGGACTCCAGCCACAGGCCAGCAGCACCTGAGCCCTAGCAGCTGCACATAGGAGGCAAACAGGGTTTGAATTACACTTTGACTCTTGTGGGGGGTGGGATCCTGCAAAAAAATTGGGCTGCCCATCACAATGACCTAATAAAAACAGAGACCTTCCCAGGTTACGCTTTTCAAATCTTACAAGGGGGGCTCTCATCTCATGGGAGGGCTCATCCCCTCCCCCAAGTTCCCCTGTAATTTGAACCCTGGAGACAAGTGCTGTGGCTGGAGCAGTGTGTGGAATCTGTCCCCCTCTGCCCCATGGACAACGTAGCTGGAGCAAAGCTGAGCAGAGCCTGTGGGGGTAGGGGACGATGTGGGCTGCCCACTGCAGAACCCCAGTCCTGTTGCCCTCCCCCTGGAGGCTTCTGCAGCCCAGCAGGTGGGACCCAGTGTGGGAGGGTGGAGTGGGACAGTGAGACTCTGTGCCACTGCAGGGACCCCCATGCCAACCATGCCATAATGATGATGTGCCCCTGCCCTGCCCAGCAGCAGCTGGGGGCATGGCTGGCATGGGGCTCCCAACAGCAGTGGCAGCAGCACTGAGCCTCCCTGCCCTACTCTGCCTTCCCGTGCTGGGTCCCACCCGCTAGGCTGTGGAGACTCCTAGGGAAAAAGAAGCAGGGGTGGCAGCCCCGAACCTGCTGTTGGCAGCCTGCATTGTTCCCTGCCCCATGCACAAATCTGGAGGGCGCTTTCCCCCCATTCTGCCGGCCTGCAACGGGAAACCCACAATTTTCCATGGGGCAGTTCTCGCTGAACTGTGGGTCGCAGTGAAAGGTGATGTCACCAGTCTCACGCCACTGATGCTCCTCAAACCTGCAATGGGATGAGAGGCCAGCGTGACTTCCACTGTGGGCAGAGTGGAGGTGGCATCATACTGTGGAGGGCAGAGGAATGGAGCCTTTGTGCAGAGACTGAAGAGTGCCAGGTCCTGGGGGTTCATTGCTTATAGCAGCAAGGAGCTGCTGGACATGGAGGGGCAGCTGATTTGGGTGTTTTCCTCCTCCTCTTGCTAAGCTGCATCATGGGTCATTAGGAGCTGAACCCATGGCTCTTCCTTCTTGTGTCTCCTGCTTGGTGCTGGTAGTGGGAGCTCCCCAGGCCAGGGAGCAGAGAGCCCAGCAAAAGCTTCATAGTGCAACCACAGTGCAGTCAGGTCACTTCCCTGGTCCCCTGCAGGCCATGTGATGATCTCTTTAGGTCCCTTCCAGCCTTACTTCTCTATGATAATCAGGGATTTGGGTTTTCTGTTTGCCAGGGAAAACTGTAGTTTTTCTCCTTTAAAGGAGAAAATCATGGGTTTCCACTTGCAGGCTGGCAGAATGGGGGAAGTGCCCTCCAGATTTGTGCATGGGGCAGGGGAGTCAAAACAGGGGACACTGCCCCAAATGCATGCACGCACACAGCAGCCACCAGCATGGGCTCACAGGCACATGTACCCATGTAAGTATACTGCTTGTTTCCCACCTATACATACATGGCACACACACTGCCCCAGTGCATGGGCACAGAGGTCACCAAAAGGATGCCATGGGCTGGAGCAGCAAGTATTACTTTGGGCACAAGGGGCTGCAGGCCAGGACATGGCCAATTCTTTGGCCTTCCCAGGCCCCATTGGCATGGGCAGGGCACTGGGTCTTTCTGGCCTGCTGGCCCCTTTTCTTTTGCCTTGTGCCTGCTCTGAGAGCTTCCACTGAGGCCCTAGGGTGGAAGGAGAGGGGACAGTCACTGAGCCAGCAGTGCCATCCCCTGGGCATCGAGGATCTCAGCCCCTCATGCCCCTTGGCCCCGTAGGGCATGTAGACTGGTACAGATGCCACCTGGCAACCCCAGCCTTTGGGTACAACCCACCCCTGCCCTGGAGGCATGGCCAGTGGGGGACCCTACCACTCCCTGTAAAGGCAGCATGGGCAGCTTGTTTTGGTGCCTCAGTGACTCAGAATGGATCTGTGTGGGAGTGAAGGACAGCAGGGTCAGGAGGAAGGGCAGCAAGTGACTGCTGGGGACACAACCCCACACCCATGCATGCACATGAAAGGCAGCAGCACAGGCTCGCAGGCACATGTACATGTGTACACTCACTGCTGTCCCACATATGTGCACACATGGCACATGCACTGGCCCAGCACATAGGCACACAGGCCACCAGAAGGATGTCAGGGGTTGGGACACCAAATATTACGTGGAGCTCAAGGGGCTGCAGGCCAGGGTGTGGCCAGTCCTTCGGTCTTCCCAGGCCGTGCTGCTGTGGGCAGGGCGCTGGATCTCTCTGGCTGCAAGTCTTTTTCCTCTACCCTCAGCCTGGCCCCTGCTCTGGGGGCTTCTGCTGAGGCCCTGGGATGGAAGAAGAGGGGACAGTCACTGCACCAGCAGTGCCCTCCCCTGGGAACTAGGGGCTGAACCCCTTAAGCCCCTGGTTCCCATAGGGCAGGGATCCTGGCGGAGGCCACACCTGGCAGTCCCAGCCCTGGACATGATCCACCCCTATCCTGGGGGCACGGCCGGCCAGGGGAGCTACCACTCCCTGCACGCTCATCCTTGGCAGCTCCTGTCTGTGCCTCAGTGATGTGGGGTGGAGCGGCTGTGGGACAGTGGGAGGGAAAGATGGCAGGTCCATGTGGGGAGAAGTGATGCCTGCTGGGAATATGGCCCTATACACATGCTAGCCACCAGCATGGGCTCACAGGCACATGTACACGTGTGCACACTCTACTGCACTAAACACACACATCCCTCCTGATGGACAACTTTGCACCCCCAGACTCCTCCCCAGGGCACATGGGTGTGCCCATGCTACCAGTGATGATGCATAGGGGGTGCACGGGGGTGCATGTGCACCCCCTGATAGCGCTGGTGCACCCCCTGTCAGGCTGGCTGCGCTCCCTGTTTAGGTGAGGCAGGGGGGCAGCCGGGAGTGCCGGTGCCCCCCTTGTGAGTACCAGCCGGGGAGCAGGGCTGCCAGCAAAAGCAGCCACGCTGCTTTCAGAAGTGGCCGTGGGACTTCTGGGAGCATCATGGTCACTTTTTGGTGAGTGAGATTGCCTGCAATCAGCCGCCGGGGGATACCCCCCATATCAGCGCAGTCGCCCGCCCAGTCACTGATTGGTGTCAGTGGTAACCCTAACAGACCCCCCCAACTCAAGAGGCACCAGTCGCCCGTGCATGCTACCACCCCCTCAAGCACTGATGTGTGCCCAAACTAGGGGCCTGTGGGCAAAGCCCTCAACCATCTATGCCTCATTTTCCCCATTCTCTATCAGACAAATAGCAGAGGTCCAAGTGCTAAGACGTTCACAGAGTCACGAGGCATAGGAGTCCCAGTCTGACCTCTCAGGGCAGCTGGGGATCTGGGCCCCTTTGCGGAGAGGTTTTCGGGACACTCAGCCAGGGCAGCACACAGGGAAGGCTGGGCAGGGACTGGATGGGTCCCCATGGACAGGGAGGTGTTTGTACATGGCAGGGGGCAGGGTATTGTCTCCCTCTGGGCTGCAGGCTGAGGCTGTGGCTGGCGGGCCCCGGCTGGATCAGGGAGCTGGCAGGGGCAGGGAGGGCTCTGCAGTCCCTGGTCATCCTTGCCCTGTCCCAAGCATAAAGCATGGCTCTGCCAGTACCTCACAGCCACTCACCTGGCTCTTGTCCCTGGGCACATCATTTGTCCCCACATCTTCGCCATCTTCATGGTGGCATGGTGGGTACAGTCGGAGTGGGACCTGCACCCAGACAGGTCTCTGGGTTGGCCCAGAGCTGCCGTGAGGAGGCTGGGGAGTCAGCAACAGCCGAGGTACTCTCTGGGTCTGCAGCTGAGGGAACTGGAGGAGGAGAAGAGATGCTCTGCAGAAGGCCCCCTGGGACTCCCAGCAGCAGCCTGCAAGCCACGCCCTGCACCCACAAGGAAACTGTGGGGCCCTTCTAACCATGTGCTGACTCTGCACCCAGCTCTTGGAGTTCTCAGCCCCTCCCCAGAGGTAGGCGCTGGGCGAAAGGGCCGGTCACTCTGAGTGTTCCTCAGACAGCAGAGCTGAGAGTGCAAGGAGCAGGGAAAAAGCATCCCCAATCCACATACAGTCCCCTCATGCCAGCAAGAGACTGAAGTACCCTTTGCTACACTTGCACTGGCCTCACACCTCACTGCAAAACCCCAAGGTGTTGCTGGGCCCTTACCCACATTGGGCAGTCTCTTGGCCATCCCTCCCTGCCACCTAGGCTGGAGCAGCTGATGTGAAATGGAGAGAGAGAGAGAGATGGGAGTGAGCAGCCAGGCACTGGGACTGCAAGACTCCAAGGACCCGAGCTCTGGTCCAGGCAACAGTAGGCGCTGGCTCTGATACCAGGTTGATGCTTCCCTTCGGGGCTGCAGCTGGGACTCATCCCTCCGATCACTCACCCTGCTGCTCTGCTGGGGCCACGTCCTCGGTCTTCCTT